AGCAAGCTCCATTAAACCTCAGTGGTTGCTAGCTTGTGAAGCTCCATGAACCCTCAGAGGTTTTTAGGATATGAAGCTCCATTAAAATTCAGTGGTTGCTAGCATACGAAGCTCCAATTCTTGGGCTCCTTCCGGATTTCTAAATCTCTAATATAATAAATTATGAAGGTCAGGAATTGAAAAAAAAACATTGTTTTTATCCATTTTTAAAGATAAATTTAAAGTTTTGTATACATTAAAAACCTTCTTTATATAATTTATTTCATAAAAAAAATTTAAATTTTCTTGCCATTATTATTTGCCACTATTTTTCAAAAGAATGTCTGAATGAAAAAGAACAACGAAAAATCTTAATAAAATGATTTTACCCTAAGCTTATTGATGATTTGGGATAACAGAGAGGACAGGTAATCTTTTACATCTACAAAAAAACACAATAGTATTCAGGGTGTCCAAAAACACAATAACAAACAGGGTGTCTAAAAACACAATAGTATTCAGGGTGTCTAAAAACACAATAATTTACAGGGTGTCTATAAACACAATAATATACAGGGTGTCAAAAAACACAGGGATTATGGGTTCGAAGCTTTTTGGGGTAAAAAAAAACATTTTATAAATCTAATACTCTGATTGAAATGGATCATATTGATAAAAATACTAAGTTTTTTTATAGAAACGAGTTTAAAGAGAATTAATATTTTTGCAAAATTTCGTATTAAAAAAATACAGATATGGAATTATTTACTTTTCTTCATATTGTTTGAAATAGTTTTTTAAATACAGGAAGACCCATAAAGTTTAATACTTATAAAGACGACTGTACGAATTTTCTTCAGAATTTTATAATTCCTAAAGAGTATGTATGTTTGGGACGAGTACACTTGATTTAATTTTTTTAATTATTAATCAGTTTACCAACAAAATGCTACCAAATGTAGCCTTCATACTGTCAGATGTAAAGAGTTTTAAGCTAAATGCTAATCCCTCAATGGAAGGTCTACAGGGAATGACCAACACGTTGAATATCAGAGAAGAAGTAACTTGATCCTTAAGATCAAAGCTTAATATTCCGAAATTTCCACGAAAAAACGTCTTACTTTAGAAACTTATATTTTTAAGAAAAAGAAAGAGTGTAGAAAACAGTAAATTCGCTATTAATGATTTAATCAAATAGATTGTTAAGTACAATAGATGGCAACGTAGAATTTGTACACTCTCAGTACAGTTGTATTCTGTCGTCACAAGTGTCAATTCAGTTTTTGTGTCCGACAAAATTATTAATAATAGTGATAATTTTAGAATAAAGTGCTTTTCTTACGGTAAAATAAGTTCAATTTTATGTGTTCTTTTGTCTCTGTTTTTACACTTTTTTATTAATCTTGGAAAACATGTCAACTAATGTGAGACAATTTTGTTTTCCTTGTTATATTTGACACTTGTGACGTTATGTACAATGGTTCATTTCTGTGTTGCCACCTATTGTATTTGATAATCTATTGGATTTAATAAGTTTTAGGTTGACACATTTTTTAAAAATTGTTTGAGAAACAAAGAATTGATATTAATAAATATGCTTTTTGTCGTAGAAATAATTGAAAAGAAATTATTACAAACTTTATTATTGTATAATAAAACTTTACAAGCTTGTAAAGAAACGTTCAGCCTGCAACAGTTTATGTAACTAGAGTGTACTTTATGAGTAATAATTACTCACTTCATCGTGAATTTCATAATGAACGTGCTATAAAGTAATCATCGTGCAATAACGTTAAATTAGCTGTACATTATAGTACATGAGCTGAAAAGTTTTGCATTGTTCACGGATTTTCTGAAAAAAAATTTAGGATATCCAAAATATCATTTTTCAATTGAAATGAAAATAAAATAGAAATCAACTTATTTTGACTTCTGCTTTGTTTCAAAGCTTATTTGATCTAGAAACAAACATTAAAATAGGACAAGTACACAAACAGAAAATTTCTGTCCAAAACTTTATAACACTGCGAACCAAAATAACAGTGTTATAAAAAGTTATTTCAAATAATTCTTTTTATTCTTTTGTTTGAATCTTAAAACTTGAACACCACTTAACAGATTAAAAACTTTTTAATTGATTCTTAAACAAACACAATTTTTTGTGATCAAATAAAAAGGAACGAGAACGAAACGATTTAGCTGAAGGCCCTTGTTATAGAACGGAACGAAACGAATTTCAAAAAAGTCGGAACGTGCCCAGCCTACCTAAAACCACGTTGTCTAGTGCTGGGCACGTCAGGAATCAGCACTTTAAAATCAGTTTGGTAACGGTGCACGGGTTTATATTTTATTGAAAAATCATTTCCCCGGCCCCCATCTTTGAAAATGATTTTCCTCCCGCAATATATGCACTGAATATTTTTTTTCGGGTAACCTTCGATGAATTAGGATTGTTAATCGTCTTTTAAACGATCGAAAAAAACTATCGTTTTTTGTTCTGCTTTTAAATGTTTTATTTTTATCAAGAGAAATAACCTGTGTGTTTTCTGATCTAAGGATTTTCCGACCAAAAATGTATTTTGTCTTAAGAAGGTAGTTAACGATTATTAACGAAGGATCATCGTTAACGTAAGAATTTTTCGAAAAGCTAGTTTTTAAAAAGCGATCTTCGTTTCGTTTTTCGTTTTTAAAACGAAACGATAGTTTTTCAAAAAAGTTATAACGATCAATCAGCTATTCCCATTGCTGAATATGGTAAAATAAATGATTTTATGGGGAAGGTAAAATAATTTTTTGGGGAAAGTGTACAAAATAATTGCTTTTTGATCCCCAAATCATCCAAAATGAGTACCATAGTCCCTTCCCCTTCCAGGGGGGGGATTTTTAAAATTATACACCAATTCATCACGGTGAGTTGATTAAACAGAACCAGAACTTATTTGTTGTTAATCTCGATATCACGTGGTGTTCTTACCCCGCAGTGCTAAGTGCACTCTAGTATGCCGAGTCCATTAGCGCAGCTCATCCAATCAGGGTTTAGCCCTGTGTTTGGTGCCTATTCTGAACCAATAGAAATTGCATGGCGGTAACATCTATCTTTCTATATATCTCACTATCCAATTAGAGATAAATCCTTATATCGGCGCTATAACTGTAAATGGAAATATTTATTTCTACTGAAACTACAGTGAGTGTTCAAAATAAACGATTTATTACACAAAAAATTACGACCTCAGTCCTATTCGTAAAACTGATCTAATGGTTCGGTCCTTATCCCAAAGGACTATGACTTTTTATTATAATTTGACCTATTCAACATATTTTTTTTCGTCTTGGTGACTAGATAACTTGGTAGGAGTAAGCAGTTGAATTTTAATAGTTTTCATTTTCACTGTGAATAAATAAAAATTCTACTATAACTATTTCATATTTGCAAACTTATTTTCATTTTCGTAATTCATATTGCTTTAAATGTCCCCCCTCCCTACCCCATCCTCCTCCCCACCAAACAAGTTTTAAAATTTAATTGAAAATTGAAAAGTTTCGAAAGTTACAAGACCACAAGTCCCACAAGCTTCTAATGAATATGAAAACAGTTATAGTACAGTGCAAGGCAAGTGCAATTCATGTCATAGATCAAAATAGTTTAGAAATTGGAAAACAGATCAATTCATAACATAGATCAAAACAGTTTAGAAATTGGAAAACAGATCAATTCATAACATAGATCAAAACAGTTTAGAAATTTGAAAACAGTTCAATTCATAATATAGATCAAAACTTTTATTTATAAAATATAAGTTAATAGTTTATAAAAAAAATATATTTCAGTGCTGACCAGAAAACAATGGAATAGAAAGACGACGCTTTAGTAATACTTTAGTGTTTATGACAATGATACAAAGCAAATATATGTTTTACTAGACTAATTGAATCAATAATTTAGTGAAATGAGCCTGATTACACTGCATAATTGTTGTGGCGCATGCTTAATGGAGTTTTAAAGTTATAGCTTGATTCTGAAAGTCGTCTTTCTATTTCAGAGTTGTCTGGTTAACACTGTTTTAGAAGAATAATTCAGAAGGCTTGCAAGTTTAAAAAGAGGTTTTTTTTATTTTAGGGACAAAAACTTTAATTCGGTGGTATAAGACCAAAGGGAAAAAAATGTTTAAAATTGACTGGAAATTCTGTTATCAAACTACAAAAGAACCGTTCTGGTGTCAGTTAAAAACAGTTGTATAATGCTCCTATCTGTTATGTTAATTCAAATAACCGATCATATACCTTATATTATAGAAAGGAGCATGTTAAAATAATTGCTCAATCAAAAATATTTGTTTGACTTTTTTAATCTGACGTGGGGCCAGAGGTAAGAAAATAGGAGAGAAAAATCTTGTATTCATATAAACATTTTGGCATAAATCTTAACTTTACAACTTTCTGATGTTTGCACCCGACAGTGAGCTTAACATTTAAGAATAAAATGCATGGAACAAAATTTTTAAAAGCTTTGAAAGTTAGGTTTATTCAATGCAAAAGCTTTAAAGGAAGAAAATATGCAAGCTTTAACTTCAAAATTCAAACTTAAAGATTTCTTTTTGTTAGAATAAGAAGGTATTCGAAAATGAACTAATGCGAATGGAAAGGGATGGGAATGGGAAGACATGGAATTTGGAAAGAATAGGAATAAGATATGGAAATAGGACAAAATTGGAATGGGAACAGATGAGATTATACTGGGAATGGGAAGAAATGGAAATGGGAAGGGATGGGAATGGGAATGATGGAAATGGAAAGATATGGGAATATTAAAAGATGGGAATTGGAACAGATGGGAATGGTAAGGATGGGAATGGTAAGGATGGGAATGGGAAGGGATTGGAATGGGAAGGGATTGGAAAGGGGTTGGAACGGGAATAGGAATGGAGGGAATGGAAAGAGATGGGAATATGAACGGATGGAAATGGTAAGGAATGGGAATGAGAAGGAATGGGAAAATGAAAGGGTCTAAGACTGTCTTCTTACCCTGCCATACATTTGAACCAAGCTGGAGACTCATAGCTACCCTTACATCTGAATACAAAGATTTTTTATTTAACTGAATATAGATCAGGGATTGAAACATTCAGACTTTTTTTAAGCTGTTGCCTAATGGGTAGTTAAAATCATTAAACAACTTAGAAAGACTATATCTATACCTTACAATATCATTGATATGCAGAACATCAAACATGTTGAGAAGAATACGCGGGATGTGGCAGGTCAGGAAGACGACTACTACACAGACCAACACGATAGCAAGGTTCAGCTCACTTGTCGCCTCTTGTTGTCTAGACAATTTAATACTTAAAAAAAATGAGAAATCAAAATTTTGATAATTTCAAAATTAAATGCATTCAATTTATAAATACTTATTTTAATTTTAATTTTGCTTTGGACCATCTCTGGATCCAATTGGTTTAGCTGTTATTATTTTGAACAATCACGAAAACTATATACAAGGCCCTCAGGTTGCTTCATAATTACTTCTCAATTCTAATCATTTTGGCTTATATGTGTTGTTTTTATCTTATCTTACAGGGAACCCACAAATTAACATGAGACTAAAAAAGATGACTGAAAACTCATTTAACAGATTTCGATCTAAATGTTACATTTGGTATTCTGCCTTCAATATTATATTTTGATGGTTTACTAAATAGTTTGTCAAAGAAAAAATGCTTTCAAATGCACGGAAGCAGTTATGTTTGAAAAAGAGCTCAGTAAATTCCTTAGAGTCGTCTCTTAAGTCTCATCCTTTATAGGTAACCCTGTACTAAACTAAATTTTTCAGAAACATAATGTTTTCCCTTTGTTAGCTCTGACTAGTCATAACTAAGCCCGGAGGGGCAATGTCAGATCCCACACAAAAAATATAAATGGAGATTTATACCTTCTGGAGCCTACTCCAGTTTGTATCATCCTGCCACGCATATCACGGATTCCCTGGAAATAATAAAAAAATAGAAAATTTGATTTTTTATATTTAATAAAGAGCCAAAAAATCAAATCAGGAATGAAAAATTTAATGAAACAGTTTTTTGTCAGTTTCGATGTGACCAGTATGGACTCAATAGTTGGTGGTTGCCACAATCACTGCTATAACTAAAGCCAAGTTGTCGGTTGGTAAATAGGACTTGATCACACACCCACCATGAGCCTCTGCCATGCAGAAACAAGCCTCCCAGATTTTCTAGGAAGACCGAGCAAGCCAAGCCTTTGTTATGTTAACTGTGTCTCCATTATGCAGTGAACGAGTCTCCACCATGCAGAACAACTTTTTTAAATCTTGGTTTTTATTTTTGTTTGATGTAGTGGCATAAGAATTTTACTAAAGATTAAATTTATTTATTGATTGTAATGATTAAAAAATATTTATGGACTTAAAAAGTGGTTTATAAGATTTGTACTAAAACTTTAGACATTTCTTACGCAGAAAGGAAGATATTTGGAGAAATGTTTTTGGAGTAAATTTAATTTGTTTTGTTGTAATCTTTGATCTAAACAATACCTTTTTGAAAAATATTAAGATCAAAATAAATCATACAAATTTTCTAGATTTAATTTGAACTACAAAAAAAGGTATTGCTTATATCAAAGGTTATAAAATATGAAATGAAATTCAATTTAAATATTTTTCTATAAATATTTTTTTTTCATGTAAAGAATGTTCAAAGTTTTATATATTATTATTAGGAACAGTTTATGATAATTGATAAATACTTCTTACTTTTGAAAAAACCTCTCATACCACTATGTCAAAGAAAATTATTAACATTTTTAATTACACATCAAAACCAAGATTTAAAAAAATCTGTTCTGCATGGTGGAGGCTTGATCACTGCATAGCGGAGGCTTGGTCTGACGAACAATCTGAGTCCTGATAAGCAGTCAATCTCAGGGACAGAACTTCAGATAAGCTCCTAGCCATGGGTTAAACAAAGGCCTGCACAGGAAACCCGAGCCTGTGGATCTAGATGGCTTTCAAGCCCAGAATACAAGAAGATCTTAGGAAACCCAAACCTGTGACGCTGAATAGAGAAGAATACAGGAAACCCATCACTGAGCACACAGAAAACCCAACCTATGGTTCTGAATGAAGAATATTCTAGGAAACCCAACCTGTGGAGCTGAGGTAACTGTAGTAGCAGCATATCTACATTGATTTATTTCTTTGTTTCTTTTATTTCATTCACTTTTAACCCTATCCCTGCTGGGGTACTTGAAAACCAGGATATGCTGGGGGCCCCCCCCCTCTAAATCCCCATGTTTTATGTCCAAATATGACAAATGATACATCATTAGAAAGCTCTTGTGCTCTACTTTTAGAATCTGCAAAAAAATTTGCAAATTTGCAAAAATTGAATTTTTTTATTGCAAAATCCAGTTATATAGTAAAAATGTTTGCAAAAAAAAAATTGTCCAAAAAATGAAAAATTATACATTTTTGAAAAGCCCTTGACCATGCCATTTCAAATATGCAAAAAATTTTGCAAAATTTTAAATTTCCTGATTTTTAATCAAGAAAAACTAAAAATGTGCAAATTTCCTTTGACAGGTTGTTTGCAAAAAATATGCAATTTTTTTTCGCAAAACTTGTGCAATCCGTTTTCTTATGTCATAGGCTTTCCAAAAAGCTAAATTTTATCCAAATCTGACAAGTGAAAGTGGGTCAAAACAAAGATTTAGTTTGTTACAGGCAAAAGCAGTCAATCAGGCAGTGTGCCTGAGGACTCAGGAAGTTAGTATTAAAGCCCGGTTTTAGGCCTAAAGGGAGGGCTTTGGGTATGTAAGAAAAGTCAGAAAATTTCAACAGCCTCAGACCAATACTTTTTGAGTTATGTAAAAAAAACTACAGGGGGGGGTCAAATTGACCCCCCCCCCCCAGCAAGAATAGGGTTAATAGAAATGTTAAACTATTTGTTCTTTTATTGGTGCTAGACTTATGATTACTAGAATATTGATACCCTCTTTTTGTTGGTTCCTTTCTTTTCTAACAGTTGACCAAAAGTGTCCTTTTGCGATCTGTCTTAACCAGGTAATTGCATCAGGATTCAGGAGCATACTCATGGGTTAATCAAGCGGGTGAGAGCTAGAAAATTGTTTTTGACCGCTTGGAAATTGTTAAATATGTAAAGTTTCTGCAGGAAATATCAGTTTTTGGTATTCTTGGATCACAATAAAAGAAAAAAACAATCAAGGAGTCTATGGCTAGGGATGTTAACGTTTTCATTTTTTTTTAAACAATCGTTTCGTTATGAAAATGACGACGAAAAAATCGAAAACGAAACGATCTTTTTTAGAAACTATTGTTTTTTTCAAAAGTTTGTTTTTTAAAAATGGTGGTTTTTAAAACGATCGTTTTTCAAAATGCTCGTTTTTCAAAACGATCGTTTTAAAAAAATTTGTCGTTTCGTTAACGATCGTTAGCGAAGAGAGGAAACCGACCAGAAGGGCATCATTGAGTAGTTTTTAAGAAAATATCAAGAAGTTTTAACTCCCCCACAACTGTTAAACTTCATGTAAGACAACATTCAATGAAGTTGCATGACATTTTTTTCCAAAAACGACTGTTTTTTAAACTACGTCATTTCGAAAACGATCGTTAACGACATCCCTTCATTAACGATTGTTAACGACACCCCTTCGTTAACCATCGTTAACGACTACCAATTGTTAACGACGACCCTTAGTTAACAATCGTTAACATAATTGTCAATAAAAATTTTTTTAAACGATCGTTTTTTCAAAAACGATTTAAAAAAAAACAATCGTATAAAAAAACATTAACAAATCGTTTTAATAAAAACGATCGTTTTCAAAAATGATCGTTATTCGTTTCCTAAAAGTTCAAAACAAGTGGATCGTTTTTAAAAACAATCGTTTTTTCCGAAAACGAAAACCTATACCTATTAAAATTATCTAAAAATGGAATCCTCTTTTGCATATTTATCTTTATTATTTTACTATAAGCAGTAACAAACATTTTACCTGGAAAATTTTGATGTTAAAGAAAGACAAAGAAACTATTGGAATAATTCCTGTAGCAAATAATCTAAAATAAATGAAAATTTATAGATTCTAAAGTGATGCAATACATAAAAATTTGGTAACTCAAATGTCAAATGTAGGAATCATTGTCCTTTTTTACCAGTTGCAAAATGATTTAAAAGAGTTATCGTTTAATTTATAAACCCTTCAATTTTGTTTAAAACAAATCAAAAACCACAAAGAAAATACATTAGATGGAAAAATTCCAAATTAAAATACACAGGACTTAATTTTGACTCCTGGTAAATACATTGAGACCCATACAATGTGAAATGTTAAATGAATGAGAAGATAATATTCTATCAAAGGTTTGAAGGGTATGGTTATATATACGTAGGTCTTACTGATTTTTACACCCATTCTCATCTCTTTCAACAAACTGCTTAAAATTCTTCTCTTTAATGGAAAACTAATATTTTCTCAGAAACTCATATCTTAAGTTTAGAACGAACATAACTTCTTGTGTTCTTTCAATGATAAAACTTGAAATCAATTTTATAAGAAAAAATAATTTATAAGAAAAAAGAAATAGGATAATATTTTTAAATGGTTATGAAAAAATTTAAATCTAAGATTTGAATGTTGTCTTTGTNGGGGTGGAGGCAATTTAATTATTGCACGTGAAGCGCGCAAAATCCCCCACCTCACCCACTCTGAATTTGCAGGGAATTTGGGCAATTTTATGTCAAAACCATGACCAGCTGTGGGTGGTAGATGTAAAATGTGAGAACAAGATTTGGAATTTTTAAAGATATTTACATTCTGAGTAAAAAAGTAGTGCCGCAGGAAAATTATGTTTGAATCTATTCTTAAAAATCAAAATTAACTGACTAGAAGGGGCCTGCTCTCTCTTTTTGCGCTCCTAATTTTTCCGGAGGGGGGGAGTTCTGCATTGAACCAATCACTGTAATGCACAGAACAAGTGGAGTGCAACAAACCAATGAGAATCTTTGAAATACACGAATATTTTCCTTTACATGTACTACTAATTAGTTTAACCTTGTGTAGAAGCTGTAGTATTTAATATAATTTGGATCCCTGAAGAGTTCTGTTAGTTCCATATCAAGCATCATCTCATCACTATTAATTAGAGATGTAGTTTTTTTTTATGAATTATACGGACTCTAAGCATGTGACCTTTTATGCAAAGATGGCAATGAAAGACTCTCAAATGCTTAACCCTTAAATGCTTTTTGTGATTAAGCCTGAATTAATTTTAAAACTGTATCAATTACTCTCAGACAAATTTCCATTGATTCTAATTTGTCTGAGAGTAAATTACATTCCTTTTTAAAGAGGGGATTCAATGATAAACCCGAGGACTTGCGGATTTTGCGGATTTTTTTGCCTTTGTAGATTTTCAAAGTATCTTTCAATGAAAATATCCCCGCGGGATTAAATGAAAATTGTTGCATACCAAAAAACCAGCTTTTCATAAAGGAATGATTATTTGCGATTATTGTTTTTTTCACAAAAGTGATTTGCGCATTTCTACCACAGAAAAACATATTAAATGCTAAAACGACAATATCTCCCACATTATTGATCAGATCAAGGTTTCAAGGGTTCTTTGAAAGAAAGATCATTTGAAATTTCGCTTGCAGTCCCTTAAAACATAATAATATTCTAAATATTAATGACATGTTTAAGCGGTGAATAGTGAACTTGCCTGTGTTTAATTGATTGGTAGTTTTTGCAAAATATTACATTTTTTCATGAACATTTTTGTTTGCTGGAAACCCAATTATCACTAGTATTCTCTTGTTGTCTATACACTAACCTGTTTGTATTCTCTTGTTGTCTATACACTAACCTGTCTGTATACTCTTGTTGTCTATACACTAACCTGTTTGTATTCTCTTGTTTTTCTCTTGTTGTCTATACACTAACCTGTCTGTATTCTGTTGTTGTCTATACATTAACCTGTCTGTATTCTCTCGTTGTTTATACACTCACCTCTCTGTTTTCTCTTGTTGTTTATACACTCACCTGTCTGTATTCTCTTGTTGTTTATACACTAACCTGTCTGTATTCTCTTGTTGTCTATACACTAACCTGTCTTTATTCTCTTGTTGTCTATACACTAACCTGTATTCTCCTGTTGTCTATACACTAACCTGTCTATATTCTCTTGTTGTCTGTACACTAACCTGTATTCTCTTGTTGTCTATACACTCACCTGTCTGTATTCTGTTGTTGTCTATACACTAACCTGTCTGTATTCTCTTGTTGTCTATACACTAACCTGTCTGTATTCTGTTGTTGTCTATACACTAACCTGTCTGTAATCTCTTGTTGTCTATACACTAACCTGTCTGTATTCTGTTGTTGTCTATACACTAACCTGTCTGTATTCTCTTGTTGTCTATACACTAACCTGTCTGTATTCTCTTGTTGTCTATACACTAACCTGTCTGTATTCTCTTGTTCTCTATACACTAACCTGTCTGTATTCTCTTGTTGTCTATACACTAACCTGTCTGTATTTCCTTGTTTTCCATACACTAACCTGTCTGTATTCTCTTGTTGTCTATACATTAACCTGTCCATTTTCTCTTGTTGTCTATACACTAACCTGTCGGTATTCTCTTGTTGTCTATACACCAACCTGCCTGTATTCTCTTGTTGTCTATACACTAACCTGTATTCTCTTGTTGTCTATACACTAACCTGTATTCTCTTGTTGTCTATACACTAACCTGTATTCTCTTGTTGTCTATACACTAACTCGTCTGTATTCTCTTGTTGTCTATACACTAACCTGTATTCTCTTGTTGTCTATACACTAACCTGTTTTCTCTTGTTGTCTATACGCTAACCTGTATTCTCTTGTTGTCTATACACCAACCTGTATTCTCTTGTTGTCTATACACTAACCTGTATTCTCTTGTTGTTTATACACTAACCTGAATTCTCTTGTTGTTTATACACCAACCTGTATTCTCTTGTTGTCTATACACTAACCTGTATTCTCTAGTTTTCTTTACACTAACCTGTATTCTCTTGTTGTCTATACACCAACCTGTATTTTCATGTTGTCTATACACTAACCTGTTTTCTCTAGTTGTCTATACACTAACCTGTCTGTATTCTGTCGTCGTCTATACACTAACCTGTATTCTCTTGTTGCCTATACACTAACCTGTATTTTCTAGCTGTCTATACACTAACCTGTATTCTCTTGTTGTCTGTACAGTAACCTGTATTCTGTTGTTGTTTAAACACTAACTCGTCTGTATTCTCTTGTTGTCTATACAATAACCTGTATTCTCTTGTTGTATGTACACTAACCTGTATTCTGTTGTTGTCTATACACTAACCTGTCTGTATTCTGTTGTTGTCTATACACTAACCTGTCTGTATTCTCTTGTTGTCTATATACAAACCTGTCTGTATTCTCTTGTTGTCTATACACTAACCTGTTTTCTCTTGTTGTCTATACACTAACCTGTCTGTATTCTCTTGTTGTCTATACACTAACCTGTCTGTATTCTGTTGTTGTCTTTACACTAACCTGTCTGTATTCTCTTGTTATCTATACACTAACCTGTCTGTATTCTCTTGTTGTTTATACACTAACCTGTCTGTATTCTCTTGTTGTCTATACACTAACCTGTATTCTGTTGTTGTCTATACACTGATCTGTCTGTATTCTCTTGTGTCTATACACTAACCTGTCTGTATTCTGTTGTTGTCTATACACTAACCTGTCTGTATTCTCTTGTTGTCTATAAACTATTCTTGTCTCAAAATATTTTGATATATTGAGAAGAATACTGATCAGCAAAACTGGGGATACGTACAGAAACAGTCTAAAATAAATATATTAAAAAAAAAATTCTAGTTGCTTCTTTATTTGTCTGTATAATCATCAGTTACTTACCCCCCTCAGAATTGATTTTTTCGTCTAAATGTAAGTGTCCCCCC